CCTCCCTAGCCTTCGTCTGCTCCACAAGTTCCCTGAAATGCTTCCATCAGTCCAGGTGGATCGCGGAGCCATCAAGTTCGTGCTCTCCGGCGCCAACGTCATGTCCCCCGGCTTGGTGAGCGCAGGAGGCAAGCTGCCGGACCCGTCCAAGGGCGAGCAGCCCATCAAGGAGGGCGAATGCGTCGCCATCCGCGCCCAGGGCAAGAACGAGATCCTCGCTGTCGGCGTCATGAAGATGGATTCCGAACAGGTGCGCAAGACCGGCAAGGGCATCGCGATAGAAAACATCCACTACCTCGGAGGTAAGTTCCGACCGTACGACGTGGCAGCGAGCTTTCCCTCATATCCAGCCTTCTGACCTTGTCTCCTCTTTCTCTCTCGGCTTTGCAACACTCACTTGACTGCCTTCAGACGACCTGTGGCTCACTCTGTCCAAGGGCGGCATCTAGTTGCGCACACTTTCCATTCCGAATCTTCATTCAATGCATTCATTCATCTCTGCCCATGCAACCAGCAGTTCGAAAGCGCTCGTTGGATCCCAGATCGTCGCATGGCTGCAGCAAATCAGCGGAATCGTTCGTGAGTGCTAGAACGTAGTCCCTAGGTAGACAAGCGTGCTGAAGGACGGTCGAGGATGTTGGTCGGAGCCTCATCGCCTCCACTCGATTTTGGCAGCCGCATTTTTCAGCCGATTTCTGCCTTTTCTTCTCCCCGGCGCGAAGAAAGTCGGTTAGTCATCCGGGTGTGTGCTTTGGGTGGAAGCTCAGGCCACCACATCTTGCTTTCTGCCGTCCACCCAACGCACCGCATCACGACCACACGAGATGGCAGCCACATCAGCACACCAAGCGTCTGTGCTGCTGCGCACAACATCGTCGAGCAGCTCAATGCGCTTGGCAGCTACGCTCGCCGCTGCCACTGGTTCGAGCTCCAGCCGAATCCAACCACCGCAGAGCAGGCCTCGCTGCGTTTCGACCAGTGCAGTTTCCAGGGCAGCAGAGCGCACAGAGCCACCAGCATCCACACAGCTTTCGCCCTTGCAGTCGCCGCGCGAGTACCTCGTTCAGGAGCTGGCCAAGAGAGATCATGCGTCGTATCTCGCGCATCAATTCTACCCCAAACACCTCCAGACCCACTTTGCAGCCATCCGCACCTTCAACGTCGAGACCGCCGCGCTCAAGGACACCGTCTCCAACGAGCTGCTCGGACGCATGCGCATGGGATGGTGGAGAGATGCCGTCCAAGGCGCCTATCAGAATCGGCCGGCCAAGCACCCAGTGGTGCTCGCACTACGAGATGCGTTCCAAGACCCGGCGGTGCGCGACAATGCTGCGGGCGGACTGATGCTCGATCACTTTCTGCGAATCATCGAGGTGCGCGAGGCCGATCTGGCGGACGACTACCAGGTGCCCTCATTGGACTCGCTCGAGGCGTATGCTGAAAGCACCTCGTCGCGCCTGCACTATCTCTCGCTCAACCTGCTTGGCGTTCGCAGCGATGCCGCAGACGAACTCTTTTCGCACCTCGGCAAGGTCGCCGGGCTGAGTCTGGCCATCTCGAGCATTCCCTTCCACTCGCATCCTCCGCCGCACATGCGCAACTCGATCACAAAGGGATCGCGCAAGCTCGTCCTGCCGCGCGAGTCTGTGCTGCAGCACAACGTCGTAGAGGAAGACGTCTTCCGCAACGGCCCCAACGCGCACGGCTTTCGCGATGCCGTGTTCGCCGTAGCCACGCGTGCAAACGACTACCTCATCACCGCACGCAAGATCATCAAGGACGAATTCGGCGGTCGCGTCCCCACCGCCGTCGTGCCTCCGCTCGTCGGTCTCGTCCCCGCCCGCTCCTACCTCGAGCGTCTCGAAAAGGCTGACTTCAATCCATACGACGCCTCGCTTCAGTCGGGCAAGCACTGGCGTCTGCCGTGGGACATGTGGAGGACGAGCAGGAAACGCAACATCTGATTGCAAAGACGCGCACAATTTGTACTTTTACTCTTTTACCTTTGGTGGACATTGACTTCCCTACTTGCTTGGTGTGTGCGCTCGACCGACGTAGGATGCAACGGCTGTTGCAAATGTGCCGAGGGAGCGCAAGCAGTGCGAGACACTGAAGCAGCCGACGCTGCGCTTACTGCTGCTTCTTTTCGGCAATCTGCTGGACGAGCTTGTCGCCCCAGAAGCCCTTGCCGATGGTCTTGCGGCGCTGCTTGATCATGTACGTGTACATGACGTAGAGACCAGGCCACCAGATGACAAAGAGGCCGGCGTACACGTAGGCACGCAGGTCCCACGCGCCAGGCTTGGTCGTGGGCAGGCTGTTGGGAAGCGTGGCGAGGATGCACATGGCCTCAGACCCAGCTCCGATCGGGTACAGCACGAAGAAGGTGGTGTATCTGCAGCAGACAAATGCGACGAGGTGTTAGCGACGCTGAGCGAGGTCGGCTGATCCTCGAGTGCAAAACAGAGGAAACACTTACCGAGCCCAGAGCAGGCCGGATCCTTCGGAGCCGAGAAGCTGGTTGGCGTAGAAGGGGTAGCGGATGCACTCGGTGATGGCCCAGGCGAGCACCATGGAGGCGTAGAAGGGGCTCGACCACGCCTGCGAGTAACGCTCCGAGACGGCCCACACCATGAAGAGGCGCGAGGCGACCTGGATGGCGGTGGTGGCGACGGGGCTCCTCACCCAGCCGATGGCGGCATGCACCACCTCGAGGATGGCAAGCGACTGGACCAGCGCCACGACCGAGCCGACAAAGGTGTGCGAGTTGGAGGCGCGCTCGAGCAGTGCGGCGATGGGCTCGGGGAAGAGGTGCGAGTACGACTTGACGATGCCGATCTTGACGAGGCGGAAGCGCGCGAGCAGGTCGGCAGCAAACTTGACGGGCGGCGAGAACGGCTGCGGGCCCATGGCAAGGTGCTTGACGAGCGTCGATAGCACGATGACCCAGCCGAAGAACGAGACAAAGTTGAAGGCGACCAGGTAGTAGCGGATGGCAGCGGGCGGGCCACGCTTGGCGGGCTTGCCCGGCTTGGCAGCGGCGGGCGCCTTCTTGGACTTGGGCGGCATTTCGTCGATGGATGCTCGAGATGACAGACGATCGGATCGATGTGATGGAGGAGAGAAGAGAAGATGCTCGCCGACTGCTCTTTTGGCGAAATACGGATGCGGGATTCTGGATGCATCCGCTTCCTTGTCTTTTTCCGCTGCGGAAAGCGGATCGCCGAAAGTGCGGATCCACCGGCACGCACGGATGTGTTGATGTCCCGAGTCGTGTCCATCGCCGATTCAATGACAAGAAGGGCCAAACATCGGCCGATAGGGAACGGCAAGAGTTGGTGACCCTTTCTTGCATTTTTCGAATTTCGTCGTTTTTGGAACGTTTCGGCTGCAGCAGCTGAATCAACGGCGCTTTCAGCCACTCTGCAGCAGGAGGGGAGGAGGAGCGATTCGGGTGTTGTTGACACTGACGTAGGGCGCTGGGCCAAGCGGAGTTGTGGCTTCGAAACGCCGACTCAACCGGTTCGCAAAAAAGGCTGCAGCGCCAAGATAGCATGGCACTACACTTGGGCAGGCTGTGTGCCGAGATAGCATCGCCCCAACGTGGACTGAATGATACGGGCAGATCCTGACCGCTGCCGAGCCGCTCCAGGGCGTTGCGCCGCCCTTTCAGGCAGAGTATCGCCTTCCCCACCTTTTTTTGGCCCGCCGACAGCACATTGGCACCACTAAGCTGCCGATCTCGCCGCATGCTCTTCGCCCCTCGACACCACCACTTCACCTTGACTTTGCTCCCCCTCGCCTGCGCAGCCCTCCTCACTCCGTCCTTCTGCCTCGATCAGGCCGATTGTCTCCGCTAGCATCGCGTGCAGCTTAAACAGTCGCCACCGACGAGTTAGAATTCAAGCGGCATCTAACTACCGACATGCTTTTCTAGTCGCATACGACTTCCAAGTTCAAGGCGTCTCATCACCATCTCGCACCTCGCCTCGTCAGACCCGCTGCTAATCACATCACATCGCAAATCTGCTCGGTTCCGGCTCTAGCACACCGATCATGCCCGCGCGACGCCCCTCGCTGAGCGCCTCGCGCTCGACCCCGCTCCTGGAGAGCTCAGCTTCGAAGCGCGCCATGTTGGCCAGCTCTACAGTATCGGACGAACCGACTCGACCATTCAACGTGCGTCGTCGCTTGAGGCGAGCCTCGCAGCCCGCTGGCCCGTCGCAGTCGACTCTCCGCTTCCGACTGGGTGCGCTCGCACCTGAAGAGGCACTGGCTGAAGGCTTCAGCAGCGCCACCGCCACTGCCACTGCCACTGCCACCGACTCGGGCTCTTCCGACGACGAGTGGGATGCTACCTACTCCGACATGTTCAGCAGGCAACGTCACCAGTCGCTCGGGTCGCTCGAATACCTCGATCTGCCCGCCTCGCTGCCTTATTCGATTGTATCGCTCCGTGCGCAACTGCTCTCCTATCTCACCGAACTCGAAATGAGGGCCAAAGCGTTCTACTCGATGCGAATCTCTCGGGCCGCTTCCGATCCTGCAGCCGTGCCATGCGACTCGACAGCCGCTGCTTCTGCATCCGGCAACTCCGCAGTATCTGGACAAGATTTGCCACGTTCGGACGCAGCCGCACTCAACGACGGCCACTCTGCCGCCTTTTTCCAACAACTCGAGGCTTTACGCGAGGATCTGCGCAGGCTCGTCGCCTTGCTGCCTACGTATCCCGCATCCGCTTCGTCCGCCCTTGCCTCTCGCTCGCAGACTCTGGCGCAAGACTGGGAGCGGCTCTCGTCGAGCTTCTCGTTCCCGATCAGCTTGGGTAATGGCCTTCGAGAACGCCTGCCCCGTCTGCCATCTTCGTCCGATGCGGCGCGTCTCCGTGCCGAACTCCCCTCGCTGCCGTCGATGCCCTCGTTCCCGCAGCTCGACCTCGACTTTGCCCCTGTGCTCGAACCGCTGTCAAGCCACCTGCCCAGCCAAGCGTACGCACTCGCTGCCAAGATGCAAGCGCGTCTCGAGACGTTGCAAGAGTCGGTGCGCAACATGGCGTGGCGCGATTGCCTCCAGAGCGCGGCCGCCGACGACGGCCAGGATCACACGTCGCTGGCGCAGCGCTTCGAGACTAAGTTGATGGATCTGTCGGTTCGCTCGCGCGCGCGTGCCAACAGCTTTGCCGAGCGAGCCGGGCATGCGGTACACGAGGCCGAGGAGAAGCTGTACCAGCTCGCCATCGAGCTTGCAAGAAACGGCCAAGAGCTCATCAGCTACGAGCATCTGCCTGCGTTTTTCCGCAACAACGAGCACATCCTATCGGGCTACCGCTTCATCCCCGTCGAGAACTGGCGCGCGCTGGTGCGTAGCACGTTCCAGATCCACAACGAGACGGGCAACATCCACACGCATCTGTGGGGTCTGGCGGCGATCGTGCCGCTGTTCTGGCCGA